CAAACTTCTTACACCAAATTATGGTGGTGGAAGAACATTGCCTCTCACGGCACGACCAACTAGGCTTGACGAGTGTACCACCCGTGGAGTTGAAGGAAGACAACCCTCATCATGGCTCCGTACGATCTTATCGACGGGAACAATCGTTCGAAGTGTGCACCAACGAAGGTTACATGCACGCATTTACATACTCTAACCCTAGCACCTAGTCACCCTCTAGAGTTATAGTCCGTGAACCTTGGTACTGCAAAAAATGACTTGCTCGAATGTTGGAACATTATATAAACATGGGTACTATGCAAGCTACTTAACTTCATTGAAAACATAGATAATCAAGAAGGATAAATAACGTAGTACTTCCCCCACCTTTTTCGGAATGCTCGACTTAAAGGCTTAAACTTGAAAGAACTCGAGGGCTCGACTCCTCGTTGACTACAATTCATTGAAACATGTCTTAGAATCTTATCATGGCTTAACTTAAACCCATACTTACACTTATTCATATATATGAACTTTGAAAACCAGCTCGCTCGGCTTCGCCTTGCTCGCAAAACGTTTATGTTTAAGTCTTTTCGATTGGTTGATAACTTAACTTGCTTAAATTTTATCACATAGGGCATTGAAGGGTCATATAAACTTCAAATAGCATGACATGGATCAGTTATGCCACATAAACATGTTTTTAAACAATAATAATCAATTTGGAATTCCAAACATGAACTTATACAATTTTCAACATGCGCGATGAACTTAGAATGCATGTAACTTTCAGTCCATAGGTCATATAATGATGATTCCAATTGGAAATTATCCCTAACTCATGCCTTTACATCTTTTATGCGACAACTCAAGCAGATAGGGTCATTTAATTGCACATAATACAGCAAACATCTAATTCATAGTTGCAGTCAACGATTGAAATAAAACAGCTGACAGGACTTCAGTAATTGCAAGATAACCGAAGCTACAGACATGATTTTAATAAGATTCAAAAACCACAAAGGAAGAAAACTTAAGTATCTACAACATTTCTGAAGAACAGATTGGAAAATAATGATATTATCATAGAGTTTAAACTTAAAACATTCAGTTCATAAAAACTGCCAGAAAATCAACTTATATTACATACAACACCTCAGTAATTATCATGTCTCTCGAGCTACAGGCCATAAAATCATGAAATTCCAAAACTTACAGAAACTAAACAAATATGGCTACAACTTTAATGTTGACATCAAAGGCAAATGAGGACGTTTGCTCACAGATTATTCATGGTACATTTGGAACACAATTGCAGTCCGAGAATGACATTATATATCATATAGAGCCTTGGTAAAACCTAAATATCTCATGCTACAGACCTCATATTCATGCAATTTTCCAAAACCTACAAAAACTAAACACATATGGCTACATATATCATGTAGACCATTTTTACATTTGAGCACGTTTGACATATCAAAGTGGGTCATACATTAAAGATATATTCTCAGTCCTCACTTAATAAAAACTGGACACACAACTGACTTTTAAAAATCATATAAAATCCATGTGAACTTTGATTCTCAAGATTCCAAAGCCTACAGAAACCTAACAAAATTTTCCACATATCCCATGAAGAACATATTCCCATGAAACGAGTTCTTGGTCGCCAAAAACGGCTCACAACAGTGGCCACGAAAACAGAATTCATGCATAACTTCTATAAATCATCATCAATAATCATTCAATTCAACATGGCGCATAATCTTCATTAAGCAAGCCTTATTACCAACTTCTTAGACATTAAACATCTTTCAAAAATATCAAATTGTCCAAGATCCAACTTGGTCTTTCATTAAACATAAAAGAAAAATCATTGAATCTTATGTAATTCTCTTGTTAATTGACATATCTTATCAAGCTTTATTAATATTATGAACATTAAATTCAGCCCAAGGATCGAAAAGAGGGTTTACCGTGCTCGGAAAAAAAGAAGAAAAGAATGACTCNTTTTTTTCTTTTGAAGATGAGATTTTTGATCTTGTGAAATAATTAGCGTAGGAAAAAATAAATCTCATGAAGATATATATTTATATAGCTAGGTTTATAAGACTTGGAATAGAAAAGGGATTCCTATTTCCATGTGTGTGGGATTCTTTTGTGGCTTGGTGATCAAGACAAGATTTTTCTCTCTTATCTTTTCTCAATTCTCACGTGATTTCTCTCTTTGGGCCGATTTTTTATGCTCAAAATCTTAGATAAATACTCCTGCTAATTACTGCTAAGGTTTTAGTTAATTAATTAGTCCATCTCATTAATATAATAAAAATTATATTAATATTATGGCTATTTAATACCTAGGAAAATTAAATAGATGAAGACATCTAAATAATTTTTCCAATTATCAACATTTATGATTAATGAGTGTGTACACTCACTTAATCAATTCATAAAAATCGTGCTCAACATTAAAATAAAATAAAATAACATTAACATTAATTAAATAATCATGAAAAGTACAGGCTATTCTCTGGCCAGAGGGTAAACCTACAGAAATCGGGGATCTTCTTCAGCAGGAACACTCCACAAAGCCTCAAAGATAATATCTGCCAGGTGCTACAAGGCATAGTACCTCATAGATCAACAAGGTACTTAGGCCTCCCATTGAGCATTGGCAGATCAAAAAAGGAGGTGTTTGACTACATTATTGCCTCTGTGAAGAAGAAGCTGCAGGGTTGGAAAAACAAATTCTTGTCCACTGCTGGCAAGGAAGTACTAATCAAATCAGTTATCCAAGCACTGCCCATCTTTTCTATGAGTTGCTTCAAGCTGCCAATCTCCATCTATAAGTAAATCTCTAAATTGTGTGCTGCTTTCTGGTGGAAGACAGGTGAAAACTCTGAAACAGGCATACACTGGAAAAAATGGGAAAAAATCACTCTTCCAAAGCTTAAAGGGGGTCTGGGTTTCCATGATATTGGCCTATTCAATGAGGCCCTGATCTGCAAACAACTCTGGAGAATTGCCACAAACCCGGAGCTGTTGGTAACCAAAATCCTCAAAGATAGATATTTTCCATTTGACCCTCTTCTTAGGGCTAAAAGATCATCTAAGGGATCATGGCTATGGAATAGCTGGCTCACTGTATTGCCTACCTTTGCCAAATGTGTGAACATTGAAATCAGGAATGGCCTCAACACAAAAATTGAAGACTGGAATTGGGTTCCTAACCTGAAGAAGCCATCTCCTACAATGCTTGAGATTGCCAGGGGACACCTGATATGGGTCAAGAACCTGCTTCAGAATAATGGTCTGGAATGGAATACATGGTTGGTTAAACAAATCTTTGACCAAGTGGACAGTGAAGCAATCATTAGTATTTCTTCCTTAAATCCTGCTAGGCCTGACAGATTGCACTGGGGACTTGATCCCAAGGGCAAATTTTTAGTCTCCAGCACTTACAACTATCTGGCTGCACAGAAGCTCATTAGAATGGACATCCCAGAATCAAGCTCCAACATCTTTCCCCCTCATCAGGCTTTCCAAAGGTGTTCGAAGTTGAAAATACTTGGGAAAGTCAGGCACTTCATCTGGAAGTGTATATCAGACACACTTCCAACAACAGTTAATCTGAAGAAGAGAGGAGTGGACATCTGCACATTATGCTCAATTTGTGGTGAGTTTCCTGAGACAACAGAACACATTTTATTCACATGTTCAAGAGCCAGAAAAATTTGGGACTATGCTCCTGTGCAATGGGATGGTCTCTCTCCCTACACCTTCTCTTTTAAACTCTGGTGGCAGCAGCTGAGTGCAATTAAGCAAAGGGAGGTTGTCAAAGGAAGGATCCAATTGTCCACCTATTTGCTTTGGTGGCTTTGGAAATCCAGGAATCTCTGGATATTTAAAAACTCTCTCATGCCTGATCAGATTGTTATTACAGCAGCTCAAAAGGATTGGAGGGATATTTCTTAGTTGTTTCTTTCACTGTTTGCTTCTGGTTCTGCTTTGTTAGTCTGTCAGTTTGTTAGATTTTCTTTTTGAGTCTTAGGTTTTTTTGTGCTTTTTCTGTTCTAGGTGGTCATGTTATCTAGCTAGGCTTTGGCAGTGGAGAGATGCATGACCTCCATTTGTGTTAGTTGGTTTAGTTTTAGTTCTTTGTTGAGGTTCTAGATGCTTTGTGTAGCATCTCTCAGTCTTGCATTTCATTAGTAGGTATTTGCCTCTGTATTGTACTGTATTTTCTTTAGTTTTATAAACTCTATCGTTCTGGCCAAAAAAAAAAATCATGAAAAATACTAAATATGCATAAAATAAATGACACGAGTTCGGGGCATTACAATAACAATGTTGACTGGTGAACATATTAAAGCAGATGAAATAAATAAACAAAATCAAGCAGATGAAACAAATAAATAAGTAAAAATAAAGAAGATGAAAATATCAATTGGACACTAACTAACAACTACCAGTTAACATAATTAATTTTGTTGAACGCAAAAAGATAAACATCATTCATCCATTTGATGAACAATCCCCAAGGAAAGAGGGAAAAAAAAATATGCCAGTTGGAACAGTACAAGATAATATCTCTACACATACAGAACAAAGTCTAAGGCTTTACTTTACCCTAACCAGCAGCCATTAGATCCTGAATTGAGTGCAAGTAGATGAAAAGGCTTTGCTACTATGTTCCCCATATGTTCTTAACCTAAACTCTTGCTGATAAACATATTTGCACTTGTCCTTAAGAAGTGATCTCACCATAATCTTTTGAGCTCACGAGAGACATATCCTTCACTGATAGCAATTTTTCCTGCCCCTTGCAAGAAAAACTAGGCAACAGGAGTCACAGGTGATAACTTTAGATCTTTTCACATATTGGACTTGCGTTCCCAATTTCCTTTACATGAAGCCTAAAATGTTGGAAAAGAAAAAGCAAAACTTCAAATGCAGAGAATATGAGTGGATTCTAATATCAGCCTCTCCACTCATGATGTTAGATATATTCATTCATTTCATTTTTCCCTATCGTTATTTGATTGTGTACTATGAAAAAGATGTAGTATACATAAATGTGAACTAAAATTCGAGAATACCCCCAATACAGCTTTTGCCGTTTTTTCATTGTTGAGTTCTTGGCTGACTTGCTCCCTTCCTCGGGAGAAACATCCACTGTTTTGCCTTCACAGTTTCAAACAATTACATAATTCCAAGCTGGTTTGCAGGGTTCCTTGCACTCACGAGATTCAAATACTTTCTTATGGGGTTTGCTTTTTCCATCTCCTAAACCAGTATAATGTCAAGTTGCCAACAATATTGAAATATATTGCTTAAAAATGAAAAACAGTGGCTCAACTACAAAGACTTTGACACACCTTTGTCCTTTTCATTTGTTTTCGACTTGGCTTTGATTTTCAAACGCCTCTATTGCAATTCCTAGTAATTTGTTTCAGACAAATGTAGTACAATCATAAATAATCACAGATCTTCTCAACACAGCAAAGTAACTACAATTCACAAACGATCATAATTAATCTCCAGAAAAGAAGCAATAACAGAATAATAACATTAATCCAAAATGATGAAGACGTATTGATTTAATTTGTTTATACTTTAGTCTTTACTCATCTCGTGTACACAAGGGTAGGTTTTATATTGTATACAAATTAATCCGAACCTCTAAATAAAAAACATTCTCGTGTTAGGGTTTATGCTCTTCCATTAGTGTCAATTAGGGCATATTTAATTGATTGATGAATTAAGGATGATAAAACATAATGTGAGGAAACCTGAAACTTGGCAAGCTGGGACTCGGTGATTCCACTTTTCGGCTTGAAATTGGCTGACAATGCTATTGCAGATTCTCCTCTTTCGATTGCTTTTTCATCATTTTCTCTCTCCATTTACACCCATTCATCTGTAAGACTGATCTGAATCTGTTATATTTTTATTCAATTGATATGGATTTAGTGCGTGAGCTTTTCAATGGGCTCTGCCTCCTGGCCATACTGCCATAGGAGCCTAGATCTAAATTTAAATTTAAATATAATAATAAATTTAAATTTACTTAATATTTTTATCTTGTATTTTATATGGTATATTGGATAATTTTTTATTTTATTTTATAATCTATCATTATATAAAAAGAATAACCTTTTGATAAATTTAGAAGGTTTTTCCTGCCATAATCATTAAATATATCCTAATTATAGTAATAGTTGGACAATTGTGAATAAGCACAAAAAACGGCTCTTTAATTGCAGTGTTTCCTTAGTTCTAGCTTGCACAATTAAATCGGCGTGCAACAACAAATCCGATTGGCTTTTTTTAAAAAAAAACTTTCCCACAAAAATATCGGAAATTTTGTTTTACATCTAAATCTAATTTTTTTTTCTCAACACAAAATTCACTAAAAGTTTAGATATTCACGTGTACGAATTAGTTACATATTGGATTCTTATTAGGAAGAATTATGAAATTAAATAAAACTTTTTGGACGACATCAATTTATATAAATTTATATAGATATTAAAAAAAATGTGACATTAATTAAAAACATTGTTTTTAAAAATTGATTCACAACATTCATCGAAAAAAAACTGTACAATATTTTCTTGGTGTGTACAAAGTAAGTTGCTTAATAATTAGAAAGAATCTCACCTTGCTAAGAATTCGAATATCATGCAACTCTTCACAATATTTAGTCCACATTTATCCGATGTAATACATCAATTAATTGGAAAGTAAGTTGCTAAATAATTGTACAAAATCCCATCTTGCTTTGAATTCGAATATTACTATTCTGAATAATTGGAAAGAGTCTCATACTGCATGGAATTCTCATATAAACTAAAACTTGAACAATATTTTATCTGTCTCCATCCCATTTTTCCTCTACATATAATGTGATTTTCGTATATTAAGATTTTTCATAAAAATCTTATCAGATATTGATTCTACTCTACGAATTATAAATTATAAATCTCGATTCTACTCTACCAATTATAAATTATAACTTTCAAAATATAGAGTCATTCTAATATTTGTGTAGATTTAATAATATGTGATTGTTTATTTGTCCAATACTATCTTATTGTACGATTTTCCTACGTATTATAAATCTTTTATTTAATATTGCATCTTATAATATAATATTCCTCAAATAAATATATCTCGTGCCTCGTACGGGTCATGTACTACATATATCCCGTATATTTTTTTTATTCATGTATATAATTATAATCCTAGATAAATAGCCTTAAAATTGTTAATCGTCTTCCACAATCAGGCCGACCAAAAAACAGAACAGAAAAGAGAAAGGAAAAGGAAAAAAAGGAGAGAGGAAACGCACCATCATCATCACCATCCTCATCTTCACGGGCACCAGCTATCGATCGCCTCAACCCTTGCCTACCTCCTGGAGTCCGCTCTCCTCTCCGGCTCAGGTTTACGCCCACCACCGTCGTTGGGTCCCCTCCTAAGAACCGGCGCACTTCAGCAGTACGGCTTGGATGGCCTGCGGCACAATTTTGGAAATTTGGCTTTTGAATTTTGGAAAGAAGACTGGAGCACGAGTATAGTGTAGAGACTTAAGAGTAGTGGACTTAGAAATTGGGTCTCTTATTTACAATTATTTGGGCCCAAAATTTGTACAATACATATATATAGTAGTATTGTGTTGTTATGGTACCTCTCATTTCATTAGGGCCCTGGGCCTGGGCCGACTCTGAGTACGGCTTGGATGGCCTGCGGCACAATTTCTGGGTTTCTAAGAATTGGGAAACAACCGAGGACAAAATCGACTCGGGCTATGACAGCAGTACGGCTGGGGTTGTGATTGAGGTGACTATCAAGTAGAGCTTGAAGCAACAATTTTACTTTAGAACAATAATATTTGGTCTTCAGGTATTATCCTTGTGATTGTGAAGATGGATTTGTGGATTTTATGTCTCTATTTGTGCTGCTGCTGTTGTTTGATTTTTGATGTGTTTGATGGGAATTGTGACTGAGAATTTTAATTTAACTAGTCGTCTATAATATAATTGGTGTTTTTTATTCCCCCTTTCTCAAACAGTAGCACCCAAGGCCGAGAATTTGTTGTGGCAATTAGCGGGTCTATAATTGTTCAATTGTCACTAGAATTTGTTTATGTTGGTCATGATTTTATTCTTGCTGCTAATCCACAGTCATCTTAATTGTTTTGGAGAATGATGTTGATTGGGGGGATTAACTTTGATAAGGTGAAATTCACTTCATCTTTTAGCTCCTCTTTGTGATTTTGGTATTGTTTAAAAAATTGTTGGTTTATTTCTGTATCCCAAAATATGCTAATCATGTAAGCATGGATTAATTCAGGTGATAGGTTAAAATATTCTTGCTACTAATGTATGTTGTTCTGTAAAAAAATTCCAACAATAATTTATTAGTCTTTTCTTTTTTTCTCCTTTTCTATGGTGAGAGGTGTTTGAAGTGTTCTTTGAGATTGGAGTGTTGTTGGCATGAAGTTTTTAGTGGCCGACTGGGAAAAATTGCCTGGATTTGATATTGGAGCACAACTAGCCGGAATGTGTGGTCTACTTGCTATTGCAATAAACGAGAAGAGGGTTTCAGTTACCTATTACTATAACATAGCCGATCATGAAATTTTCAAATATAGTATATTAGTGTCACATTTTGTTCGAAGTATTTGAATTGCATTTTCTGAGTTGAATGACTTAAGAAATTTGAACTGCTCTTTGTTTTTTTGGCCTCTCTCTCTCAAGGGTCATCACGTTCGAGTTGGTCCTGTTACTTTTCTCCAGAGACCTCACTCGAGTGCAGAAAACGAGCCTACGAGCTTGTGCACGACAAGGCAGCATGGCAGACAGGTGTTATCACAGGAAAAGAGAACTATAATTCAAAAGACATATGGTCCGGGAGCATAACTAGGTATGATTAACGTTTTAGGTGTGAGTAGATAATCTGTCTTAGAAGAGCTATGTCATGTAGTGACTATTTTTCAGGGTATGGGGCAGTCCTTGGAGTATTATGCAACCGACCACCGAGATTAACGGGACCTTGATTGTTCGTCATCGGAAAATGGATCATAGATGGTGGAGAGCTCAGGTGAAGTGCGACTATATTGATAAAGATTTGACTTTCTTATTATTAAAAAAAAAAAGAAATGGGCAAAAAGGAATGAAAATAAATCTTTGTCCTCTGCTTCAGGCTATACGGGTCGGTACATGATGAGGTTTCAGACCGAGTACACATCCAACATTATGAACAAGGCCCGCCACAGTGCCTTTGGACGTGAAGCTGGGAAAATGGTTCTTGAGTCATCCTCTGAGGTTCAGCTCACCATCTTTTGCATTTAATTTGAATTTTGTCTTATTAAGATATACATAGCTCCAGCTATTGATCAGCTTAATCTTTGATATATGAAAAAATATGTTTGATTAGTATTTGTAGTCTTATATCTATTATTTGCATAATCTTAGAATAAATGAGCATGATATGGAAAAATTCGTGTGGTCTAATCACAAGCCATGGGTCCCTCGGCCGCTGTTGAGCATTCATGTCAGAATTGAAACATGTTGATGGCAGCTTGCGTATCGAGCCTGGGTCGAGAGACGAGCAGTAATTACCCACTTCTGAACTTCTTGAATGCGACGGAGGTCGATTTCTTCATAGGTTCATTGGGTTCGACGTGGTGCTTTCTAATAGACGGCATGAGAAGCACGGGTGGGAATGTCATGTCTGGTTACTTGAGAATGAACAAAGACAAATTTTGATAGCACTATCACTATGCATAATCGAAATAGTCGAGCAAATGGATGTAGAACATGTATGTATCAGATGATCTCAGATGAAGATAGTCCACATAACAGAGGTTTGTAAGTTACTATGTTAAGTTCTTATATTTATGTTGTAATTGTAAATAATGGCATAAAGAGGTGGGTTGGTAATCAGAGTTTATTTCTACATGTTAACTGATACTTTTGAGCAGATTGTGAATAGTAATTTGGGTACTTGCGAGTCATGACTTACTAAATCTAGAATAAGATTTACTACATATAGCAAAATAATTTCGCACTTCCTTAAAAAAGAAGGCAAAAAAATTAGAAAAGAAAAATATTCTTTTAATTTCAAAAACTGATTCCAATTGTTTAAGATATAAAAAATTCCGTTACTAAATAATTATAATTTTGTAAACACAATTTTATCCCAATTTAAATTATATTCATTTTTTTTTTGCGAATTAGTTTCCTATTGCATCGGATATCTATACAAACTTGATATGTACTGACTTAAAATTCTTAGAAAATTTAACTCGGAATAGCAAAAAATTAATTAACTTTATACGTATTAGCTTTAATTTCTTTATAAATTTGAACTCAAAATAACAGAAAAATCTTGATTTAGCATTTTTGAAGTATGGACTCCATTTAATTAACTTCATACATATTGAGTTAAATTTCTTTACATGTTTGAGATCAAAATAATAGAAATATCTCTAAATTTCTTAATTGTGCGCTTCTTCTAAACGACATCTGAATATTCATCATACAATAACGTCCTCTAATATTTATCATACAAGAAACTAACAATGGAAAGGTAGATTATCCATTTTTTTCTTAGCATTTTCTTTTATTAATATTAGACTAAATTTTTACCAATTAAGTTATTTTTATGCTACTTACAATTTATTATACTATCTAAAATTTCTTATAGGGCTTGATCGGAGAAGATGAAGTTTCACCCACTGAAGGTTGTAAAAAAATAGCGAAAGAGTTGGTGACACTTCTAATGCAAAGCGCAACCTAATGGAGTTCTTAGATGATGAGCCTAGATTTACCGCTCAATCCGCCTCTGACTCAAAGGGAAAGACAAGGGTCAACGAGCATGATGCTAAAGTGAAGGTTAATTTCGATACAGATTATAGCTATTAGGTCATTTTTTTTATAATAGGATATTAATTGAATTTATTTTTTAATAAGTAATTTGATTGAATAATGTTGGAAGATGCCAATTACGCTTGCTTTTAATGCTTATTAAATTTGGATATCAGTTAGTTTTTTTTAATTTGTATGTTGATCTCTATGAAATTTATGAACTATGGTTTCTGCGCAGTAAATATTATTTATGGTTTATAGATTATGGTTATTTGACTCGCATTATACAGTTGGACTACTATTTATTTTTTAGATTTTTTATTTATTAGTTTTAGAAAGTATGTCTTGGTAGTTTCTGAATTTTTGTTTCAAAGCAATAAATTAGTTTTAACTTATTCACGAATACATATACATATGTGCATATCATATAATTATAATAAGCAAATACAATATTTGAACTAAGCTACATCAAGGTAATAAAAAGTTAACATAAATATACCAATGAACAACCGCAAGGTAGTAATTTAGAAAAAAGAAATGTACTATATGCATTAACCTAAATAAACGTAAATTGAATCTAATTAGTTGTAGACCGAGACATATACATATACTGTTTTAATCATTTGTATACTTATCCATTTAAAAATAATTCTAATATATCTAAAATATTATATTTAAAATTATAAAATATACCTTACTATATTTAATACAAATATTTTGCAGTTACTTTTAATAAAATTGTACAAATACACAATCATGTCGATAGGTGAAAGATGTTGAAAACATTAGTTTATTTCGGCGACGAGTTTCCCAAAGAATATAATTAATAATGTTGTGTAAAATGAAATTTCAATAGTATATATATATTTATATCTCGAATCTTTTATAATTGGATAAATACACTCTGTGTGATAAATTTCATTGTCAAATAACCTTTAATTTATATAATCTCAAAAATAAATACACTCCACAGGTTACACTAGTATTTGATTAAAACTTCAATCTTCTAATAGCTTGCAAGCTGCAATCCTTGTGAAAACACAACAAAATTCCAATACCATATTGTTTAAGTCTCATCTTGTAAACACCAATCAATTCTGTTATGAAACAAATATAGACAAACCACACAAACATAGAGATCACGAACTGAGAACACTTGCATAGAAACGTCTACTTAACTTAATAGATGAGACAGATCTCTCGTCGATGCTATCTATCTTTATCCACACAACCAAGCCAAGCCAAACTGCTCTTATGCAACATAATCGTGTAATGTGCACGATAGGTAGGTAACTCTATTTCATCAAATTCGCCCGTCACAAGATTGAAGATAAAAATGGTGCTTGGGATGGCATGCAAAGCACTCAAGGCCAACAACTCCATGTACTTCACCCAACCAACCGGTACTAACCCGGTTCGTAGTTTGAATAACAAAGGACGTGTCAAAACCCCAATTGGCTTGGTTAAACCGAGTCGCTCGAACTGGGACCTCCGAGACTCGAGGCAAACACTGCCCGTTTTTCTCCATTCCCCGTTTTCTGGCCTCATCTCCCAAACTTGCCACGAAAATTCCCCACATGGACGCAATAGAGACAAGTAGTACCTGTCGACAAATATATATTCACCTGGTGCTCGACGAGAATGCTGCCTCGGCTGGGGCTTGGGCCGGGAGTCTTTGTATTTGGGATCAGGTTTTCTTGATTCTACGATCTTCAGTTATATCATTTAGATATCAGTATTTTCCACTTGTCTTTTTTTCTCTCTCGAATCTATTTTTCTTGCCTTCTACTATCTTCAATTTTATATCTCATATAACCTCCAAGTAACTCCTTTCAAAAACCTCTAAAGGATTTTATCTCATATAACCTCCAAGTAACTCCATGCAAAAACCTACAAAAGATAACTCTCATAGCCAAAGAAACCTACATAACAGAAACTATTTTTAACCATATAAAAAAGTGTTTGACTCTATTATAAAATAACACTAGCAACTTGTTTTATGAAAACCACAAAAAATTAGTGTTTTGTGGAATTATGAAATCACCTACCAAAGCTCTAAAAAACAAGTAAAATTAATAGTTAACATCAAACACAAAAGCATGAAAAAAAATGACAATATACATGCCAAAAAGCAGAATTAATTTTGAGGAGAGAACATATTGAGTAATGAACACAGTGGAGCGTAAATATAAATGAGAAGTTGATCATAACAATGTTGACTGGTGAACATATTAAAGAAGATGAAATAAATAAACAAAATCAAGCAGATGAAACAAATAAATAAGTAAAAATCAAGGAGATGAAAATATCAGTTGGACACTAACTAACAACTACCATTTAACATAATTAATTTTGTTGAACGCATAAAGATAAACATCATTCATCCATTTGATGAACAATCCCCAAGGAAAGAGGGAAAAAAAGTATCCCAGTTGGAACAGTACAAGATAATATCTCTACACATACAAAACAAAGTCTAAGGCTTTACTTTACCCTATCCAGCAGCCATTAGATCCTGAATTGAGTGCAAGTAGATGAAATTAAAAGGCTTTGCTACTATGTTCCCCATATGTTCTTAACCTAAACTCTTGCTGATAAACATATTTGCACTTGTCCTTAAGAAGTATCTCACCATCATCTTTTGAGCTCACGACAGACATATCCTTCACTGATAGCAATTTTTTCTGCCCCTTGTAAGAGAAACTAGGCAACAGGAGTCACAGGTGATAACTTTAGATATTTTCACATATTGGACTTGCGTTCCCACCTTTCCTTTACGTCAAGCCTAAAAGGTTGGCAAAGAAAAAGCATAACTTCAAATACAGAGAATATGAGTGGATTCTAATATCAGCCTCTCCACTCATGATGTTAGATATATTCATTCATTTCATTTTTCCCTATCATTATTTGATTCTGTAATATGAAAAAGATGTAGTATACATAAATGTGAACTAAAATTCGAGAATACCCCCAATACAGCTTTTGCCGTTTTTTCATTGTTGAGTTCCCGGCTGACTTGCTCCCTTCCTCGGGAGAAACATCTACTGTTTTGCCTTCTGAGTTTGAAACAATTGCATAATCCCAAGCTGGTTTGCAGGGTTCCTTGCACTCACGAGCTTCAACGACTTTCTTATGGGGTTTGCCTTTTCCATCTCCTAAACCAGTATAATGTCAAGTTGCCAACAATATTGAAATATTGCTTAAAAATGAAAAACAGTGGCTCAACTACAAAGACTTTGACACACCTTTGTCGTTTTCATGTGTTTTCGACTTGGCTTTGATTTTCAAACGCCTCTTCTGCAATTCCTAGTAATTTGTTTCAGACAAATGTAGTACAATCATAAATAATCACAGATCTTCTCAACACAGAAAAGTAACTACAATTCACAAATTAATCTCCAGAAAAGAAGCAATAACAGAATAATAACATTAATCCAAAAAGATGAAGACATATTGATTTAATTTGTTTACACTTTAGTCTTTACTCATCTCGTGTACACAAGGGTAGGTTTCATATTGTATACAAATTAATCCGAACCTCTAAATAAAAAACATTCTCGTGTTAGGGTTTATGCTCTTTCATTAGTGTCAATTAGGGCATATTTACATGATTGATGAATTAAGGATGATAAAACATAATGTGAGGAAACCTGAAACTTGGCAAGCTGGGACTCGGTGATTCCACTTTTCGGCTTGAAACTGGATGACGATGCTATTGCAGATTCTCCACTTTCGATTGCTTTTTCATCATTTTCTCTCTCCATTTACACTCATTCCTCTGTAAGACTGATCTGAATCTGTTATATTTTTATTCAATTGATATGGATTTTGTAACGCCCCACTTTGATTTTAAAAAAAAATTCGGGACTTTCAGAAAAATCAGAATAAATTTTTCAAAATTTAATTCAAACATATTTAAGGCGTTACTCATTTTTCCAAAGCCAATTGTCAAAACCAATCATCAACAATATTGCAAACTCCTTAAACGGGTTTTCAAAAATTCATAAATCACCCAAACCGGGTTCCAACAATATTCATAAATTCTAAGGAGCATCTTCTTAACATTATTCAGTCATAAAATCTGAAATTCATAAAAGCAATAATACCCCAAGTTCATAATCATAAAACCAGTTCATAAATGCGGAAGCATAACAAATAATAAGGCCAATCTTATAGACCGACCACCATTCGCTCTACTCCGCCGTCGTACCTGCTTCGCTTAACCTGAAACGTGAATTTCAGGTGGGGATGAGCACAGTTGAAAAAAGTAGTGCTCACCACTATGCAGTAAACATTATTCACAATAATGAAACAGTAATCAATAATCAATAAGGTATGGTCGCAGCATGTATACAAATCAATTAACTATCCCAATCCCCCATCAATAATATCAATAATAGACTCACGTGCACGTCTATACCAATAGACTACTGGCGGTAGACGTATCGAATGCCCCTCGGGCTTCTATCGAATCGTATGCCTGCTTAAGCCTTACGCATCATATGCCTGCTTAGGCCTTATGACACTACGTCTAAGCCCTCCGGTCTTACACATCGAATGCCCCATGGGCTTCTATCGATGCCTAGTCAGTAGGAGTAAATCAATCATCTCCCGCCTAGGAACCTTTAACCCTGGTCTTACGACTCAGAATAATAAAAGAGACCACCCATCGGGTACGTTCTATAGCTACGTTCTAGAGCTACGGGGATAACCGTTCGACGGCCGGTACAGCTCACATCATAGGCTACATGGTTCATGTGATCATACCATAAATACAACAATAATAACATTTAAGGCATAGCAATTTTTCGAATTCAACCCACCTGGTACTGCAAAGGATGATGGTGAATGCACGCTCAAACAAGGGCGAGGGCTCAACTCCTCTTAATCTACAATTTAATGATTTAATTACTATTTTTGGTTTTTATTTTATTGATTAAGTCACAAAATTAAATACACAAACAATTACACCACATAGGACACGCATAGAAGATAAGGGCATATAATTCAGTCAAAACAATTAAGCAGATAAAAACACAAATGCCACACATTTACTGTAAAAGGAAAACCCAAACTAAGAGCTACGTGAACACATTAAATGAAGAAATTAAACACATGAATTAAGCTTCCTTCTTTTCTTAATCCTTGATAACTTCATGCATGCTTTTGAATTGAAGATAAAGCTCTTAAAGTCACGCACTTACAGCATGATATTCACACCAAATGGCTCAGCAATAAAAAAAATCGAAACATAGCCTACCACGATCCACATGATACCACTAATCAATTATCCTGCATTTACTCTTCAAACTCACCAAATTAAGCATGCTTATAAGTTTTTAAGCATATAATCAGCATCAAAACAACACAAGCTCAGCGCAAGGACAAAGCATGAAAGATTCAGAAATAAACACCACCAACGAAAACAAGGCACCACCAATCACCAAGGCCATAAAAACTTATTAAAATTATGTCCTTTAAGCACATTTCCAACAGCTTAAACATATAACAGAGGCTCAGCAATTAAGTATACTGTACGACCAAAGAAATCAACACAGCATGTCTCATTTGACCTCTTTCTCTTTCTTTTTCATGTTCGAGCAATTACTCATGGGCCATATGAACTTATTTAAAATTCTCACAGCATGCTAACATATAAAGAAAGCTCAGCTACACATATTAAACAAAGCTAACTAAAATATACAACAAGCAGCTCCTCCCGTTTCTCCTTCTCAGGAACAATTTAACACAAAATGAGGCACAACCAACATACATGACTCATTCAACAATCACAGGACAACCACACGGCCAACCGGGCACAACCATAGCACATCATATCAAGCACATAATCAAATATTCTTTGCCATTTTAAGGGTAGCAAAAGCTCAGCCATATACCTGCTGTCACGAATTTAAAACAGGGCTGACAGAAGAAAAGAAGCTCGGGTTAGGCTAGAGGCTCTCAACATTGCCGCAGCCCGACGGGAACCGAACTTGCAAGTTGCCCGACGAACATGATCGGGGCTGAAAGGGGCTGCTCGTGTGAACTCCTGGTAGGAGGGTCGCTCGACGATGGCTGAAATAGCCCTTTATTGGTGATCGCTGAACGGAAACGGGGCTACTATTGATCGATGTCAATGCTCGAGGACCCCGACTGCTTGATTAAAGTCTCGGATGGTTGCCCCTACTCTCGCACGGGCCCAAAAGGGCTGCCGCTACTGTTCGGGCCACTAAACGAAGGCCGACGGGGTGCCGCTGCAAACGGGCGCGTGGCTGTGGAGGTTCGCCGGCCGCTGAAGAACCCGACTTCCGGCTTCGTGCTTTCTTCTCCGGCAGGAACGCCGACTACTCGCGATTGAACAAGAATGGCCGCTGTGAGACGCCGGAGAGGAGATGAGCTCGCGACGGGTCTGAACGGAGCTCGGTCGACGAGAGCTCAAAATTGTCGGACAAGGGTTGGGGCTCGCGATCAGTCGCAGCACGACGGAAATTGAGGCCCGAAGTCGCCAGAGGCTTAGCTCGCCGGACGTTGGTCGAGTTAGCCGAAAACTCAACGTCGCTGCGTGAACGGGCTGAAGCAGCTGCTCGCGTGGTGCGTCTGTCGGTGTCTAGGACGTCGGCGGTTTGCTGCTGTTCTGGAGTGCTTGCGGCGGCGTTGACGGGTGGTGGTCACCGGACAGATTTGGAGAATGAGGGCTATCGATTAAACATAGAAGAGAGATTGAGAAAAATGATGGTGATGGGGATGACGGCGTTTGGAAGAGAAAAAAGATAGGGTTGGGTCATTTGTGCCTCAAATAGTGGGTTGAGTTTTTATCCCAAATGGATCTAATTTGCATTAAAATTCACACGGCCAAAATAATTAACCCAATTGGGCCGAGAAACTAACTCCAAAAGACCGAGATAATTAATTCCAGTTGGGCCGGAAAAATTAGCAATCATGGGCCAAGAATTAAAAAATGAGATTGGGCCGGGTCCAAGGTTCGGGAAAAATATTAAGAACAGTTCGAAATTAAAACTACGCGACTAAACTGGAAAATTCTAACTCAAAATTATTCCAATAATTTACACATACAAATAATAAAATTAACCACATAATATTCATATAATTTATGTTATATAGCTATTTAATATCCAAGTAGATAAATAAATTAAGGCAAAAAAGAGCAGTTAATAATAATTAGACGAGCAAACAAATAATTATATAAATAACCCAAGGCAATAATCAAATAAATGCAAATAAATAATCAAATAAATTTCAGAAAATTTTAATAAACGAACTGGGCGCTACAGATTTAGTGCGCGAGCTTTTCAATGGGTTCTGCCTCCTGGCTATACTGTCATAGGAGCCTAGATCTAAATTTAAATTTAAATATTATAATAAATTTAAATTTACTTAATATTTTTATCTTGTATTTTTTATGGTATATTGGATTATTATGTATTTTATTTTATAATCTATCATTAAATAAAAAGAATAACCTTTTTATAAATTTAGAAAGTTTTTCCCGCTATAATTATTAAATATATCCTAATTATAGTAATAGTTGGACAATTGTGAATAAGCACAAAAAACGGCTCATTAACTGCAGTGTTTCCTTAATTCTAGCTTGCACAATTAAATCGGCGTGCAACAACAAATCTGATTGGCTTTTTTTTAAAAAAAATTTTAACACAAAAATATCGGAATTTTTGTTTTACATCTAAATCTAATTTATTTTTTTTTCAACTCAAAATCCGCAAAAGGTTTAGATATTCACGTGTACGAATTAGTTACATATTGGATTCTTATTAGAAATAAATTATGAAATCAAATAAAACTTTTATTAAATAGAACTTTTTGGACGACATCAATTTATATAAATTTAAATGGATATTCAAAAAAAATACGACATCAATTAAAAACATTGGTTTTTAAAATTGATTCACAACATTCATCGAAAAAAAACCTGTACAATATTTTCTTGATTTGTACAAATTAAGTTTCTAAATAATTGGAAAGAATCCCACATTGCTAAGAATTCGAATATCATGCAACTCTTCACAATATTTAGTCCGCATTTATCTGATGTAATACATCAATTAATTGGAAAGTAAGTTGCTAAATAATTGTTAAAAAAAAAATACTGACATTAATTAAAAACATTGTTTTTGAAAATTGATTCACAACATTCATCGAAAAAAAATGTACAATATTTTCTTGGTGTGTACAAAGTAAGTTGCTAAATAATTGGAAAGAATCTCACCTTGCTAAGAATTCGAATATCATGCAACTCTTCACAATATTTAGTCCACATTTATCCGATGTAATACATCAATTAATTGGAAAGTAAGTTGCTAAATAATTGTACATAATCTCATCTTGCTTTGAATTCGAATATTACAATTCTGAATAATTGGAAAGAGTCCCATACTGCATGGAATTCTCATATAAACTAAAACTTGAACAATATTTTATCTGTCTCCATCCAATTTTTCCTCTACGTATAATGTGATTTCCGTATATCAAGATTTTTCTTAAAAATCTTTTCAGATATTGATTCTACTCTACGAATTATAAATTATAAATCTCGATTCTACTCTACCAATTATAAATTATAAATCTCAAAATATTGAGGCATTCTAATATTTATAGTTTGTGTAGATTTAATAATATATGATTGTTTCTTTGTCCAATACTATCTTATTGTACAATTTTCCTACGTATTATAAAACTTTTATTTAATATTGCATCTTATAATATAATATTCCTCAAATAAATATATCTCGTGCCTCGCACGGGTCATGTACTACATATATCCCGTATATTTTTTTAATTCATGTATATAATTATAAGCCTGAATAAATAGCCTTAAAATTGTGCACCCCGTGCATCGCACGAGCTCTACACTAATTTATAAAAAATGGCAATTCAATTTTTGGTCTGTCTACATTAATTGTTTACCATTAATGGCAACATTGTTTTTCTTTTCCCAGACCGCATTAATTAAACCCCAATATTATATTGTTACATTATCCGGCCACAAAATCCGGATTTATCCCTTTGAATGGGGTTGGCACATATAATGCTACCATAAACTAGGAAATTTGTTATATTTAAGTTTTAAATTTCAAAAAATCATGCTTAAATGAATTTGAAAATTTTTTGGAAAATAATTAAATCCTAAAGATTGAAAGAAACATTCCATAATCCATTTGATATTAGTATCAAATTAACCATCGTCTTCCACAATCAGGCCGACCAAAATACAAAACAGAAAAGAGAAAGGAAAAAGAAAAAAAGGAGAGAGGAAACGCACCATCATCATCATCATCATCATCCTCATCTTCATGGGCACCAGCTATAGACGCCTCAACCCTTGCCTACCTCCTGGAGTCCGCTCTCCTCTCCGGCTCAGGTTTACGCCCGCCACCATCGTCGGGTCCCCTCCTAAGAACCGGCGCCCTTCAGCAGTACGGCTTGGATGGCCTGCGGCACAATTTCTGGGTTTTTGAGAATTGGGAAACAACCGAGGACAAAATCGACCCGGGCTACAACAGCAGTACGGCTGGGGTCGTGATTGAGGTGACTATCAAGTAGAGCTTGAAGCAACATTTTACTTTAGAAGAATAATATTTGGTCTTCAGGTATTATCCTTGTGATTATGAAGATGGATTTGTGGTTTTTATGTCTCTATTTGTGCTGCTGTTGTTGTTTGATTTTTGATGTGTTTGATGGGAATTTTAATTTAACTAGTCGTCTATAATATAATTGGTGTTTTTTTATTCCCCCTTTCTCAAACAATAGCACCCAAGGCTCAGAATTTGTTGTGCAATTAGCGGGTCTATAATTGTTCAATTGTCACTAGAATTTGTTTATGCTGGTCATGATTTTATTCTTGCTGCTAATCTTCAGTCATCTTAATTGTTTTGGAGAATGATTTTGATTGGGGGATTAACTTTGATAAGGTGAAATTCACTTCATCTTTTAGCTCCTCTTTGTGATTTTGTTATTGTTTAAAATATTGTTGGTTTATTTGCAGAATCTTAGAATAAATGAGCATGATATGGAAAAATTCATGTGGTCTAATCACAGGCCATGGGTCCCACGGCCGCTGTTGAGCATTCACGTCAGAATTGGAAAATGTTGATGGCAGCTTGCGTATCGAGCCTGGGTCGAGAGACGAGCAGTAATTACCCACTTGTGAACTTCTTGATTGCGACGGAGGCCGATTTCTTCATAGGTTCATTGGGTTCGACATGGTGCTTTTTAATAGACGGCATGAGAAGCACGGGTGAAAAAAAAACACTTATAGTACAGGTTGCATTTTATAACAAAAAATACTTTAGGTTGAAAATAAAAAAAACACGTATAGTACAGGTTGGAAAAAATTATTTACCCCTTAAACAATTGGAATCAGTTTTTGAAATTAAAAGAATATTTTTTTTAAGATATAAAAAATTTCGTTACTAAATAATTATAATTTTGAAAACACAATTTTATCACAATTTAAATTATATTGATTTTTTTTTTTCGCAAGTTAGTTTCCTATTGCATCGGATATCAATACAAACTTGATATGTACTGACTTAAAATTCTTAGCAAATTTAACTCGGAATAGCAAAAAATTAATAACTTGACATGTATTAGCTTTAATTTCTTTATAAATTGCTATAAATTTGAACTCAAAATAACAGAAAAATCTTGATTTAGCATTTTTAAGTATGGACTCCATTTAATTAACTTCATACATATTGAGTTAAATTTCTTTACATGTTTGAGATCAAAATAATAGAAATATGTCTAAATTTCCTAATCGTGCGCTTCTTCTAAAGGACATCTGAATATTCATCATACAATAATGTCCTCTAATATTTATCATACAAGAAACTAACAATGGAAAGGTAGACTATCCATTTTTTTTCTTAGCATTTTCTTTTATTAATATTAGACCAAATTTTTAACAATTAAGTTATTTTTATGCTACTTACAATTTATTATACTATTTAAATTTCTTATAGGGCTTGATCGGAGAAGATGAAGTTTCACCCATTGAAGGTTGTAAAAAAATAGCGAAAGAGTTGGTGACACTTCTAATGCAAAGCGCAACCTAATGGAGTTCTTAAATGATGAGCCTAGATTTGCCGCCCAATCCGCCATTGATTCAAAGGGAAAGACAAGGGTCGACGAGCATGATGATAAAATGAAGGTTAATTTCAATACAGATTATAGCTATTAGGTCATTTTTTTAATAATAGGATACTACTTGAATTTATTTTGTAATAAGTAATTTGATTGAATAATGTTGGAAGATGCCAATTACGCTTGCTTTTAATGCTTATTAAATTTGGATATTAGTTTGTTTTATAATTTGGATGTTGATGTCTATCAAATTTATGAACTATGGTTTCTGGGCAGTAAATACTATTTATGGTTTATAGATTATAGTTATTTGACTCGCATTATACAGTTGGACTACTATTTATTTTTTAGATTTTTTATTTATTAATTTTAGACAGTACGTCTTTGTAGTTTCTGAATTTTTGTTTCAAAGCAATAAATTAGTTTTAACTTATTCACGAATAAATATACATATGCGCATATCATATAATTATAATAAGCAAATACAATACTTGAACTAAGCTACATCAAGGTAATAAAAAGTTGACATAAATATATCACTGAACAACCGCAAGGTAGTATTTTAGAAAAAAGAAATGTACTATATGCATTAACCTAAATAAGCGTAAATTGAATCTAAATAGTTGTAGACCGAGACATATACATATACTGTTTTAATCATTTGTATACTTATCCATTAAAAAATAAATTCTAATATATCTAAAATATTATATTTAAAATTATACAATATACCTTACTATATTTAATACAAATATTTTGCAATTACTTTTAATAAAATTGTACAAATACACAATCATGTCGATAGGTGAAAGGTGTTGAAAACATTAGTTTGTTTCGGCGACAAGTTTCCCAAAGAATATAATTAATAACGTTGTGTAAAATGAATTTTCAATAGTATATATATTTTTATATCTCGAATCTTTTATAATTGGATAAATACACTGTGTGTATTGTCAAATAACCTTTAATTTATATAATCTCAAAAATAAATAGACCCCGTGCATCGCACGGGTTATACTAGTATTTGATTAAAACTTCAATCGTCTAATAGCTTGCAAGCTGCAATCCTTGTGAAAACACAACAAAATTCCAATACCGTATTGTTTAAGTCTCATCTTGTAAACACCAATCAATTCTGTTATGACGCAAATATAGACAAGACCACACAAACATAGAGATCACGAATTGAAAACACTTGCATAGAAATAATCAGTATCAAACGAGAAGCATGAGTAACGTCTACTTAAGTTAATAGATTAGACAGATCTCTCGTCGATGCTATCTATCTTTATCCACAAAACCAAGCCAAGCCAAACTGCTCTTATGCAACAGAATCGTGTAATGTGCACGATAGGTAGGTAACTCTATTTCATCAAATTCGCCCGTCACAAGATTGAAGATAAAAATGGTGCTTGGGATGGCATGCAAAGCACTCAAGGCCAACAACTCCATGTACTTCACCCAACCAACCGGTACTAACCCGGTTCGTAGTTTGAATAGCAAAGGACGTGTCAAAACCCCAATTGGCTGGGTTAAACCGAGTCGCTCGAACTGGGACCTCCGAGACTCGAGGCAAACACTTCCCGTTTTTCTCCATTCCCCGTTTTCTGGCCTCATCTCCCAAACTTGCCACGAAAATTCCCCACATGGACGCAATAGAGACAAGTAGTTGCCAGTCGACAAATATATATTCACCTGGTGCTCGACGAGAATGCTGCCTCGGCTGGGGCTTGGGCCGGGAGTCTTTGTATTTGGGATCAGGTTTTCTGGATTCTACGATCTTCAGTTATATCATTTGGATATCAGTATTTTCCACTTGTCTTTTTTTCTCTCTCTAATCTATTTTTCTTGCCTTCTACTATCTTCAATTTTATATCTCATAGAACCTCCAAGTAACTCCTTTCAAAAACCTCTAAAGGATTTTATCTCATATAACATCAAAGTAACTCCATGCAAAAACTTACAAAGCAAAACTCTCATAGCCAAAGAAACCTACATAACAGAAACTATTTTTAACCATATAAAAAAGTGTTTGACTCTATTATAAAATAACACTAACAACTTGTTTTATGAAAACCAAAAAAAATCAGTGTCTTGTGGAATTATGAAATCACCTACCAAAGCTCTAAAAAACAAGTAAAATAAATAGTTAACATCAAACACAAAAGCATGAAAAAAATGACAATATACATGCCAAAAAGTAGAATTAATTTTGAGGAGAGAACATACTGAGTAATGAACACAGTGGAGCGTAAATACAAATGAGAAGTTGATCATAACAATGTTGACTCGTGAACATATTAAAGCAGATGAAATAAATAAACAAAATCAAGCAGATGAAACAAATAAATAAGTAAAAATCAAGGAGATGAAAATCAATTAGACACTAACTAACAACTACCCGTTAACATAATTAATTTTGTTGAACGCAAAAAGATAAAAATCATTTATCCATTTGATGAACAATCCCCAAGGAAAGAGGGAAAAAAATATCCCAGTTAGAACAGTACAAGATAATATCTCTACACATACATAACAATGTCTAAGGCTTTACTTTACCCTAACCAGCAGCCATTAGATCCTGAATTGAGTGCAAGTAGATGAAATTAAAAGGCTTTGCTACTAGGTTCCCCATATGTTCTTAACCTAAACTCTTGCTGATAAACATATTTGCATTTGTCCTTAAGAAGTGATCTCACCATAATCTTTTGAGCTCACGAGAGACATATCCTTCATTGATAGCAATTTTTTCTGGCCCTTGCAAGAGAAACTAGGCAACAGGAGTCACAGGTGATAACTTTAGATATTTTCACATATTGGACTTGCGTTCCCACCTTTCCTTTACGTCAAGCCTAAAAGGTTGGCAAAGAAAAAGCAAAACTTCAAATACAGAGAATATGAGTGGATTCTAATATCAGCCTCTCCACTCATGATGTTAGATATATTCATTCATTTCATTTTTCCCTATTGTTATTTGATTCTGTACTATGAAAAAGATGTAGTATACATAAATGTTAACTAAAATTCGAGAATACCCCCAATACAGCTTTTGCCGTTTTTTCATTGTTGAGTTCCCGGCTGACTTGCTCCCTTCCTCGGGAGAAACATCTACTGTTTTGCCTTCTAAGTATGAAACAATTGCATAATTCCAAGCTGGTTTGCAGGGTTCCTTGTACTCACGAGCTTCAACGACTTTCTTATGGGGTTTGCCTTTTCCATCTCCTAAGCCAGTATAATGTCAAGTTGCCAACAATATTGAAATATTGCTTAAAAATGAAAAATAGTGGCTCAACTACAAAGACCTTGACACACCTTTGTCCTTTTCATGTGTTTTCGACTTGGCTTTGATTTTCAAACGCCTCTTCTGCAACTCCTAGTAATTTGTTTCAGACAAATGTAGTACAATCATAAATAATCACAGATCTTCTCAACACTGAAAAGTAACTACAATTCACAAACGATTAGAGTTACTCTCCAGAAAAGAAGCAATAACAAAATAATAACATTAATTCAAAAAGATGAAGACGTATTGATTTAATTTGTTTACACTTAGTTTTTACTCATCTCGTGTACACAAGGGTAGGTTTTATATTGTATACACATTAATCCGAACCTCTAAATAAAAAACATTCTCGTGTTAGGGTTTATGCTCTTCCATTAGTGTCAATTAGGGCATATTTACATGATTGATGAATTAAGGATGATAAAACATAATGTGATGAAACCTGAAACTTGGGAAGCTGTGACTCGGTGATTCCACTTTTCGACTTGAAATTGGTTGACGATGCTATTGCAGATTCTCCTATTTCGATTGCTTTTTCATCATTTTCTCTCTCCATTTACACCCATTCCTCTGGAAGACTGATCTGAATCTGTTATATTTTTATTCAATTGATATGGATTTAGTGCGCGAGCTTTTCAATGGGCTCTGCCTCCTGGCCATACTGCCATAGGAGCCTAGATCTAAATTTAAATTTAAATGTAATAATAAATTTAAATTTACTTAATATTTTTATCTTGTATTTTATATGGTATATTGGATTATTTTGTATTTTATTTTATAATCTATCATTATATAAAAAGAATAACCTTTTTATAAATTTAGGAAGTTTTTTCCCGCCATAATCATTAAATATATCCTAATTATAGTAATAGTTGGACAATTGTGAATAAGCACAAAAAACGGCTCCTTAATTGCAGTGTTTCTATAACTCTAGCTTGCACAATTAAATCGGCGTGCAACAACAAATCCGATTGGCTTTATTTAAAAAACTTTCCCACAAAAATATCGGAATTTGTTTTTTTACATCTAAATCTAATTTTTTTTCTCAACACAAAATCCGCTAAAAGTTTATATATTCACGTGTACGAATTAGTTACATATTGGATTCTTATTAGGAATGAATTATGAAATTAAATAAAACTTTTATTAAATAAAATTTTTTAGACGGCATCAATTTATATAAACTTATATAGATATTAAAAAAAAATACGACATTAATTAAAAACATTGTTTTTTAAAATTGATTCACAACATTCATCGAAAAAAATTGTACAATATTTTCTTGGTGTGTACAAATTAAGTTGCTAAATAATTGGAAAGAATCGCACTGTAATGCCCCGTTTATTTGTGGATTATTTGGGATTTATTTTTATTATTTTTATTGCTATTATTATTGTTATTATTAATTGGTAGTAATATTTATATTTTATTTTATTGAATGCAAATATAATTATTTATTTGTCTAATGTGATTAAATGCTAATTGTGACTTGTCAAATTGTTTAAATTGATTTTGTGTTTTATTTAATTATTAATATGAATAAATGTGTATGTGATAATATGAAAAATATATATATGTTTATTTTTCGGTTTATTTTTATCGCGCGTTTGCTTTCGAAATCGAGCCCGATAATTATTGTTGTAATCGAATTGGGCCCGAATATATCTGTTTGAATTTTATTTGAGCCCGTGAGCTGTCTTGTTGACCCAAACGGCCCAAAAATCCTATTGGCCCAAATTTTCTCGGGCCCGGCCCGACAGATTTTCCTTTCCCTTTATTTTGAACGTGATTTTATGTCTTGGACAACAAGAAATTTTGTTCTTTTCCCAAACCTAATATACATATGTGTATATATATGTATATATATATATAT